TAATCGTCTCAGCGATAGACACTGTAGGTCAAAATTATAAAGCAGGAGTGCATTGCTGTACAAATGCCTACGGCCAAGGTATTTGCAATAGATTACACGCAGTAAGCGTGTTTGAACTGACTATTTTGGCAGCATCATGTGTAGCGAGCGAATTCCAAACTATAGAGCCAAAATCTAGTCTAGACCTGATAATAGAAATAATAAACGAAGGTGAAAAGCATGGCTTGCAGACTTTATAGTTAATCTAGTAATCCTTCCCAGTAAACTAAATGCAGAACAGACAATGTAGGTGACATGACAGCCAAACGAAATAAGTATCAAATTAAACTCCAAGATTAAGTCTCTCTTAAAATACATTTCCTATCCCGTACGCACAATTAATGCAGCATTTCACGTTTTTTTTTTTTGCAGAAAAACCTTAGTTCTTCCTGTATTAATGATTAAGCATTTTTCCCACACAAGTTTAAAATCTGCGATGCGTCTCTCTGAAGAAGGTAACAATCGTCAATGGAACTAATACTCAAAAAGAGCTTGTTATCGTTTGAGTTTACTACGAAAGTAGATATGTCAATGATAAAATTCAGAAACTAAAGTCGATCCATACTGAAGCCCTGATGTGCTCCCGATAACAGACAAGAAGAATCAGAGAAATCATTAAATTGCGTACAACACAGCGACGGTCACTCAAATAGTTTTCAAGGGCATTTAGAATCGGAAGAGGAGCCACGTTTTGTTCAAATTTGTGCAATAAGAAAGCGCGGTTAACCATATCGTAGCCCTTTGAGAGGTAAAAAAAAACAACGTCAACCTGACCACGATTGCGAACAAAAGGTACTGAATAATCAAGCAAAGTACAAATGTTTTGTCTCGACCGAGCGTCCCTTGATAAAATCATGCTGATGTGAACTCCTACGTTGCGTAAGATAAAAAGACAGACGGGTGTACATCATTATCTCAAATACCTTAGCAAAAGAACTTAGCAAGGATTCGAGGATATAGTTTCCAACTTGTGAAGTATCCCTCACCTTATGTATAGGAACAATAGACTCTTTCCATCTTATATGGAAATACACCCTTTGAGAATAAAATATCACATATCTTCTCTAAGATAGGCGCACAAATAATTCAACAACCTTTAACAATATAGTTAGTAGTATGTTCTGTACCAGATGTCAGTTTCGGCTTTCGTTTCCTTATCGCAGCTATGATTTCGCAAACCGTGACTTTGTTTACCGCACAAAACATCAAAGCAGACAGGATCATAAAAAAATGTACTCTCTTTAAGCGTATCCGAGAAAAACGAAAACCCACTGAAGTGACTTGCAAAAAAGTTAGCGATATCCTTTGGGTTAGACAGAAAATCAGAATCAATTCTTAGGCTGATAAAGTGCGCGCTATTTCTAGCATGTTGTTAAGCAAATTTCCGAAATGTATCTGGTGTGTGGGAAAGTACTATTTTCTACTAGGTTTAAATGCACAGGTTTGTCACAAATAAGTAGCTTTTTAACAAGAGAAGAATAAATACTGATCATAGCTTACCACATTTGCGATCCATTTCTTTTGCACAATTTGCGACAATGCCCTTATTTCTGTAATATTAAACTAGATTTTTAGAGCACCATCAGTTTTTGTTTATGGGCTTCGATGTTTTTTTTGTTTTTTTTTATTAAAGATTTTAATTTGAATTCTCACTACCCTGGTAAATGACCTCGCCGCTGAGTCGACAGGAACATCTTTAAAATAACAGACCAGTCGTAATCTTTAAAAACTAACTATATTAAACAAAATAATTGCCTCCGTTAAATGAGTAATACGTATGATTCGGGCGAGCTGCAGATTTCAATGACTAATGGAAAGCAAGAATGAGGGGGGGGTGATAAGCGTCTGCCTTAACAAGTGAAACAGCTGCAATCGTTCGGCCGAAGATTGGAACAGTTGAAAGAAAAATATAAAATACATTCCCAACGCTGTTATCAAACTTATTTAATTGACTAAGACCATTAAAATGTAATACATTCAATAGATGAGACGATTTCTTTGCCGTTAAAGTGTTTCGACTATTAACAAGTCAGGACTACCAGTCAACACCAGGTAGGTTAAAATCACCATAAACATGCACCCTGAACTTCGAAAAGTCAGTTTCTTTTTCCAATGTATCAAAGTGATCATAAAAAACAGTATCTAATAGAGGAGGGAAATTATAATTCCCATTCAGGTAGTTGCAACCATCATTCAAAATCAGTTCTATCCAATCGCATTCTGAATAGCTTTCAATGCCATGTCTTCGATTAGAGGTAACTGGCTATTTGATGGCGATTAATACACCGCCTCTGAATTTCTTTCGAGTTAGTCACTGCCACGACGGTGAACGGTATATGAAGAAGAAAAATAGCCTGAACTTAAAATGTTTTTTTTTTTTTTTTTTTTTTTTTTTTTAATTGAGGTTTCAATTAGACAAATTATAATAAAATTCCAACGGTACATTTGGCAAAAGTGCGTCCTCTTTCGTTCGTAGACCACCAGTGTTTTGGTAGTACGCATTAAGTGTCTCCTTCATTCATCTGGGCATGATAATTTTGTTCTAGTACATGAAACGTCCAACCTTACAAAGAACGGGTGAAAATATACAACCTCCAGGCCACAGCTGAGGTTCGTTAATGACTTCGAATGATTCCTGATTCACCTCGACACGGCAGGAAGGGTTTGTCGCAAAAAAGATCCTCAGTTTAGAACAGCAAACCGTGTTTCCCGCCAGCAAAGGCTCGACGAATAATCAAACGACAGAAGCTGTCTTGTCTGCAGCCAGACGCGAAACAAACAATGCTTTCCGAGGGCAGGAGACTACGCTCACTTTTTAAGCCTTTCCAATCTCGACCGTTGGTTTGGTTCTTGAGCGCCTGTTCACGAGCATGAAGCCATCGGGCACTTCTGTAGTTTCAGGTGCTCACCTTAGCGCTGACCGCGTCGTTGACCAGCATCTTGAGCTGAATCCCGCTCGTCAGATTTGTATTGACGCACTTCGGCATCAGCTGCCGGTAGAAAGCGTTTTGGCACCACAACGTCTGAACTTGAGGGTTGCCTCGGCGCCACGGACAAGTTTGATTCCGCCGTGACGGACGAGTGTTGAGCCCTTTGTAATACCGATGTAGAAAGTCGATCCAAAAAGTTTTCCTTTCAGGTAAAAAACCTCAGAACGGAGATCTTTATATTCTTCTCTGAGACATTTCACCGCTGCCCTCAGCACTTCTATTTTAATGGCAAGGGTGTTAGACAGTCTTCTACTACTCGCTGAATGGAGTCTTCCTCGGTGATGCCGGTCTTTGTAGCAGCAATGTCTTCTTTTGCGTCCTCAGAAAGTGTGTCCGAATCATACCTATCCTTCGAGCTTATAGGATGATGACGAGTCAAATTATTGCATTTGTGACCACTTTTCCTGACAACATCAGCGCTTAGTTTTCGCCAATAACAACGTTAACACGGTCCCAATGAAATCTGCGTTTTCAACCGCCTACAAAACTGAGGAAGTTCTGTTATCGCAAATGCGAGCGGAGCAGCTTCCCCAAACGTCTCTCAGCTTCGGCGCCATTCGTTAGAATGGCGCAATATTTAGGCGATCTTAGAACGTTCCTGACAACACTTTCAAGGGCGAACGTGGTATAGCTGCAACATCACGTCCTGGATCGACAGTTGCTATCGAAAACCAAGCATAAAGTGCGAGAACGCGCCCGTCTCCTCCCGGTGCGGCCTGCAGCCGTTTGAGGTCTATTCCCGTTTGATCAGCTTACCCGCACATGCAGGACACGAGCGAGGTGGGTTGCAGGCTGTCTATGGAGTGTTCATTCCCTGGCTTGCTGGTGGGGATAATTTCTGAATGTTTTGACTCCTGGGCAGCTCGACCTTTTCCATGTCTTGCTGATGCGTCTCAAGAGCGTCTGTACCGAGCCCACGTCTAGGTTGCTGAGCTGCTCGTTTTAGACGTGGTCCTCGCCGGGTGCCGTGTTGCTCTCTACGTCATGGAGCGCGTTCCAGACTTCTTCGAAGAAGAAGGGGGCGTAGCGGTAAGGGTTCGAATCGCCTTCAAAGTCATGGTACGGAGGTCCTGGTGGGTGCCGGGGAAGTTGCGAATAAATTTCGGGAGGGTTTTGCTGTTGATGCGTTTGCTTTTGCTCTGGTCCAGGAGGTGCCGAAAAAACTGCCAAGCATCTGGTACCCAGTATCTCTTGGAGATCGAAGCACTTCTTGTTTCAGTAGAAACATGCAAGTTGGGTCAAGTTCTCGACTGCTTCCACCGGGATTGCCGCGATCCATTTCTTGAGCTTGCGGTTGGGCTTTAGGCGTTTGCTGCGCTTGATCAGGCTGTGCCTCACTTCCCACAAGTGGAGCAGGTGCGTGTTCCCCCCGGGGGTTTCTGTAGCATAATCAGCCTCTCATTTCTTGCAACTGAAGAAAAGCAGTCACATATGTTGAAAAACATGTTCCTATTCGCGTTCACAATGTTATCAAATAAAATAAAATTAAGCTGTTCCGGATGAGAATTTGCTGAGTAAAACAAACTCAGAGTCACCTGATTGTGCATAACTGTTTTCACAAAAGTTAGAAGAGAATTATTCATTCACCTTCCATTGAATTATTAAAGGAAGCACATGATCAGCCCTGTAAATTGATTTAATTAAGACTTCATTCTTGAGTGAAAACGATGAAAACGACATCCTATATCACGAGACAAACGAAAGAGCAGAACGAAGAAAACGAAGTGCGGAGCGAGATCGCCTCAACGAATACCGAACGACGCACTGCACACCGAACGCCTCAACGGACCACAACGTTTGTTGCCATTGTAAATATTGTACATAAACCTTGTTATTCCTCCCGTTAACGCTATTGAACCAAATCATGGTGCCGAAACCTGGGAGCTAATCACCAAGAAAAGACGTTCAACGCCAGCCACAATGACCTCGGGCAACCCAAGCGACCGAACAACGTGAACGACAGCGGCTGCTATGGAGACGCTCAAGAAGAAGCGAGGAGTCGTCCGATCCGTGATCACAAGGCTCATCAACGAGATGAGAACAACCATGAACCAGCTTCCCGCGCAGCAAGGTGAGCTTGAAGATAAGATCACTCGTCTTACGTTAAATGAAAAATCACTTCGGGAGCTCGACATGTTGATAGCGGACCCTGTTGATGAGAACAACATAGAAGAGGAAATGCATAGTATACTCGCTTATGAAGACTCCATAAGCATTGCCAGGTCAAGAGCTTTGAGGGAATTTCAAAAACTACAGCCAAAGAACAACGAAACGACCACTTCGGCTTCTAACAACGCGTCACATTCAGAGAGACACCGGGTAAACAGTGCGACTGTCCCGAACGTGAAATTACAGAAGTTGGAGGTGCCGAAATTCAACGAAGAGCTGGCGGAGTGGCAGACATTTTGGGACCAATTTCAATCGTCTATCGACCAGAACCCCGTCTTGTCTCCAGGTAATAAGCTGAAATACCTCAAGGTGCACCTGGTCGGCAAAGCTGAGACACTGATCAAAGGAATGGCGGTAATCGGTGATAACTACGACACTGCCATAGAGCTCCTCAAAAAGAGATTTGGTCAACCTCCTCTTATCGTGAACGACCACCTCATACACCTTTTGAACATAAAGTAAATCTCTACGTCAAACGCAGTGGGGGTGGACTCCGGAGACTCTATGACAACGTGATGACCTGGATGAGGAGTCTAAAAAAGCCTAGGAGTTGACTCAGACTTGTATGGGGTACTGCAGCATACACTACTGCAGAAGTCTTTTCCTTCGGAGCTCATTCTGGGATACAATCGCTGGTTGATTGTCAAAAAACGACCACAGAGTGAAGAAAAAATTAACTCAATAAACTTCTCGAGTTCATTGACAACGAGGTCGAAACCAGAGAGAAGTGCAGTCAGCTCACACCCCAAACATCGCAACAACCCACACCCGATTCACATCGCCCAGAACGCCACTCTGAGAGGGGAGGAACGGCGACAGCTTTGACCAGTGCCACGGAACCTGAGCTAAGGCGCTGCGTGTTCTGTAGCTCTGAGGAGCACAACTTGGAGAACAGCACGTCACCTCTGACGATCAAAGAAAAAAAGGACCAGCTGAAAGGGGAAAACAGGTGCTTTCGGCGCACAAAACAACTCCATCGCTCCAGAGAGTGCAGATCCGCGCACAAACGATCATGTGCAAAGTGCTCAGGGAAACACCTGACCGTAATGTGTGACCCCAAGTAGGCGGCGACATGGCAGCCTACTAACACCAGCTCGACTCCTCCTCAGTTTATCGGCATCTCAAGCTCCAGCACGACAGCTCACAATCAAATACTACTTCAGACGGCCAGCATACGAGCGAGTGGTCACACCGAAACATCCCTAGGAGCACTGATTGACGGAGGGAGTCAACGAACCTTCATTGATCGAGACACCAATGAAAGGCTTGGATGTCGACCGGTCGGAAAGGAGGAGCTAACGATATTCGCTTTTGGTGACTCAGGGCGTGGGACAAAAAGAAACTGTCGTCGTGCAAAACTTGTACTCCGAAGCCACCACGGGCCCGCCGAGATCGTAGTCGAGGCTTTGTTGCTTTCAAAAATCTGCGGAGAGATCCTTACTTTCGCTGATGGCGACATCATAAGAAACGTGCTAAGACAAGGGATCACACTCGCCGATCTACCTGTGGGGGACTGTCAAGGGGAGCGTGGAATGAGCATTCTAATAGAGGCAGACTACTATTAGAGAGTCGGCACCGGAAACGTACGTCGCGTCAACCTTTCGTTAACCGCAGTGGAGATCATTTTTGGGTGGTCTCTACAGGAACCCATCAAAGTAAGCAACGCCGCCAACGTATCCTTGACAACAACCGTTTTCAGGATCGACGTCGACGAGAACCCGAATCACAACGCTAGTGAGTTGCGCGCCTTTTGGGAGCTTGAGAGCCTGGGAATTAAGGACTCTCCACCAAGTAAAGAGTGCAACGAACCATCGACAGACTTGAATACTGTCTTTAACTCATCCGTGAGAATGACCGAAGGCAGATACGAGACCCACCTCCCTTGAAAGATGTCAGAACTTCAGTTCATGAACAACAAGGAAGTAGCCTCCACGCACTTGAAAGCCTTATTGAAGAAATTTCGCCGGGACAACTATTTTTTAACGCATTACGACTATAAGAGAATAAATCAACAACGAATTTGCCGAAGGAGTCAGTGTTGAAGATGTCGGTAAACCCATTGGAATGACGAATTACGTGCCTCACCGCGCTGTAATCAAGGAGGATCGCCAAACGAAAAAAATTCGCATCGTGTTCGACGCCTCGTCACATGCTCCAGCCTGTGCCTCACTCAATGTTCATCTGCACACTGGACCCAACTTGAACCCAGAACTGCTCCAAGGGGTATTGAACTTTTGTGTTCATAATATCGCTCTTAGTGCCGACATAGAGAAGGCGTTTTTACAGGTGTCTCTCGCCCCGGAGGACAGAGACGCTCTTCGCTTTTTCTCGTTCAGAGACATTCCTAGGGATGATATTTCAGTCAACCCGCCGGAGACATGGAGTATAACGAGAGTATCCTTTGGAGCCTCGTGGCGTCCCTTTCTGCTTGCAACAACCATTCGACATCATTTGGATAGTGTCAAAGAATCATATCCAAAGATCTCGATGATAATAGCAGCGTGTCCGTATCTCGATGACCTGCTCCCAGGGACAGAAACAAATGAGCAATCACGGGCACTTTACGAAGAAGCCTTCACCATCATGACCCGAGTGGGCATGAGACTCTGCAAGTTGAACACAAACGACGACGACCTGCAGCTTTTTTCACTTCAAACGGAGAAAACGAGGGGGCAACAGCCACTGGTGACAACACAAACGACGTAAAGATTCTTGGTCTGCTATGGAAGCGGAAAGATGATCGGCTTCGTATCAACATGAAAAACGTACTCGAGTTAATGGACAAGAGAAAGGTCACCAAACGCAGTCGCCTGCAGATATCAGCCCGGATATATGGTACTCTCGGAGTGATCGCTCCCGTTGTCGTTACGGTGAAGCTATTGTTTCAGAGACTATGGGAGTTAGCGTTGGAGAGGCCAACTCGACTTCGAGACGACATTGCTGATGAGTAGTCGAACTGGTGTTCCCAACTTCGTGTGCTTCAAGAAGTGTCGATTCCTCGAAAATACGCGAACCCGAGTCAAAAGAGCGATGACACAACTGTCCAACTTCACCTGTTCGGAAATGCTAGTGCCAAAGCCTACGGGGCAGTGGCCTACCGTAGGACAGAAAGCGAAAGAAACGTAACGATCGCACTTCCGATGTCTAAATCAAGAGTTGCTCTTCTGAGGAAGCTGACCCTTCCAAGGCTCGAACTGAAGGGAGCTTTGATAGCGGCAGGTTGCATCGTTACCTCATGAACACGCTGAATATATCTATAGAAGCCGCATACCTATAGACTGATTCGAACATCGCCATGCACTGGATCAAGGTGTCTGCTCTAAGATGGAAGCCCTTAGTGGCAAACCGCGTAACGGAAGTGCAGCAATTCACGTACCTTGTACAATGGGAGCACTGTCCGAGCAGCGAAAACCCTGCAGACCTGTTGACCAGAGGAGTGGCGCCTCCTACGTTAGTCGCTGAAAAACTCTGGCGGAACGGACCGGACTGATTGCTGAACTCTCAAGGGGAATGGCCACAACGAATTCCGAGGGAACGACAGAACGAAAACGACATTCACCGACACGAACAACGGGAAAGGATTCCATGTGTCATGCTCGTCGTAATGGAACCTTTAATTCCAATGCAACACTACAGCAACCTAAATCGCATCTTGCGTGGATCCTACATTTTGTGCAGAACTGTCAGCGCAAAAAGAAGCAGGGACCATTAGGAGCAATAGAGGTGAACAACGCAGAGGATGTCCTAGTGCGACAAACGCAACTTGAAGAATCCAGGGAGGAACTGGCTACAATACGAAACTGGAAGACGTGCGGCACAGGAACTCCGCAGGGATCCTTGGGAGCCTACCTCGACTCTAACGACATCCTTGGAGTCGGGGGGAGTTTGCAAAAGACGCAACCCCGGCTGGAGGATACACATCCAATTATCCTGCCTCCCAAGCATCTTTTTACCGAGCTACTCATACGCGCTACCCAGGAACGCTTACTCCATGCTGGCTTACAGGACACAGTGACGCAACTATGAGAGAAGTATTGGATTATGAAGGCTAGACACGCGACGAAGAGGATGCTAAAACGATGCGTGACCTGTGATCGGCTTCCCTGCAAGCCTGCTAGTGAGCCCACTGCACCCCTGCCGGGACTGCGAGTCAATCCAGCGGATCCCTTCGAAGTCTCAGGCATAGATTTCGCGGGTCCTCTTTTCGCTAAAATTGTGGGGTGGTGAAAAAATGCTACACTCTCGTGATCACGTGTGCGGTTACCAGGGCAGTGCACCTCGAGCTGGTGAGTGACCTGATGACAAAGAAGTTCATCCTAGCCCTCACACGGTTCATCTCTCGAAGAGGATTGTGTCGAGTGGTTCTGACTGACAATGCTCAGACCTTTCACAGGGCTGACTAGGAGCTGCGTGAACTTTGGGACAGCGCACAATGCGAACAGGTTTCTGCTGTGTTCGCGTCTCTACGTGTACAGTGAAAGTTGTTTGTTGAGAGAGCTGCTTGATGGGGCGGACGTTTGGAACGAATGGTTCGAGGGGTAAAAACAACCCTAAAAATATATTGGGTCACTGTTATCTGAGATTCGAGTTGCTAAACACAGTTCTAACGGAAGCCGGAGCTTTTTTTAAATTCTAGACCGCTAACGTTCTCGTACTTCGAGACATCCGAACAAACCCCGCTCACACCTGCGCACTTTTTTGTCGGAAAACGGCTTACGTCCCTCCCTTTATGCGAACGACACCTCTCGTCTGTATCCGTCGCCGCCGATATCCAAAGACGTTGGAAACACAGGCAAGCAGTCACTAACCACTTCTGGAGGAGATGGCGAAGGCAGTACCTATATGAACTACGCTCAGCTCACCATTCCCGACCCACCAGATCTAGTGGACTCGACGAAGGCGATTTCGTCATTGTGTCCGAACATCTACAGCCACGTCAGAGCTGGAAAGCAGGACGCATAGTTCAAACTTTCCCCGGACGCCGCGTACTTGTATGTCATGCGCGGTAAAGCTTCCCCATGGTAAGGTTATCCAGCGACCGGTGCAGCTTTTGTACCCCCTGGAGTCCCTCAACCAATGAGAAGGTTTGTGCTCATTGCGGGGGAGTGTTTGTAAAATAATTTAATTAGGACTTTATTCTTGAGTGAAAAAGATGAAAAGGGCATGCTAGATCACGAGAAAAAGAAAAGAGCAGAACGAAGAAAACGAAGTGCTGAACGAGATCGCCTCAACGAATACCGAACGACGCAGTGCACACCGAACGCCTCAACGGACCACAACGTTTCTCACCAATGTAAATATTGTACATAAACCTGTTTACTCCTCCCCTTATAACGCTATTTAACAAGCCCTACCGAAAAACATCTTGCAGGCTGGCTTTCAAGCGGCTCGAGCAACTACTCCGAGTTCCAAATTGCGTGACGAAGAGCGGATTTTTACGCAGGAATGAATTGTTAATGTCT